CTTGCTGACTGACGAGTGCCAACTAGCACGAAACCTAGGTCAGGCCGATCGCCTCCAACCATCTAATATCATATAATTTAGTTTACTGTAATTAAAAGTTGGATGTCTTTTAGATAGATTTAAAAGTGAAACTTCAAAGAGTGCAGTAAAGTTAGGTGAATTACTTCGAAACCTTATGGAATTTACATATAAGTATGACAGTTTAATTATGCGCTCCAGAAAGGGTACTGTTAACAGACAGTTTTAGAATTTTCAGCTTATTATGTATTTCAAACAAGAACGAAGGCTTCATCATTAGAATATTTTGATCAGGATGTTTTTCTCCATGGTTAAGTGGTAGAATACTTGCTACCTACACCAGAGATCAAGGCGCGTTTTCCGGCCGACAAACTCGTATACTTCGCCTGGTTTACCAGCAGATAGTAAGTCCGGAAAAGACGGAAGATTGGGTGGGAGGCTAGCATCCCCACCTCACAAAACCAATACCACCGCTACGGGATCTTCAAAGGTCACAGTCTATAGCCCTAAGTTCCATTTGGAACTCAAAGAATGCAAGAAATGAAAAAAATATGGTTGATCAGAAAATACAACTTCATTCTAATAAACGGGATTATGTTCACATACACTAATTATGATTGCCGGCAAGTGCACCTGCGTGCGAAAATTAAGTCATGCGGTGATGTTGTGTCAAATGCTTTAAGTAACCCTTCTACTGACCATCTGTAAATACCTGATATAAGTAGCTTGATCTTGTGACTATGCCAATCTACAGGAATCTGTTCGTTTAACAGTCTAACACCTCAAAATTTTAGAAAGTTTTTACTTCACAAGAATGAAAACTCAGTTCAAGTATTTCGTTCCAATTACAATAGGCACTAAGAATTTTAACTTGACATAAAGTTCAGTAAATGATTTCTTTATTTATAAACTGCAAAATGATGATGACGAATTAAGGTAAATCTGAATTAAAATTGTTTGTTTTTTTCACTTTGTCACGTTATTATACTCTTTATCAACCTCAGTCATCTTTTTCCTCATAGATATAGCTCATTTTATGGAAGTAATGACTTTTCAACTTATACAGTTAAATGTAGCCAGCATTGGAATCCCTCATCTTGGTGCACCTGCATTCTCAGTGAGGAATAGTTTTCTCGCTGAAACCCCGACCCAAAAGCCAGCGTTCCAAATACTGCTATTTACCGGGGTTCAGGAAAATCCGGATGACGAGTCCCAATTAGGAAGAAATGCTAACTGTGGATTCCACTTCTGGCTATTATCAATCAAATCAAATCATATCATTTTAACCTTGAAACATCATCGAAGTGTCTGTACTACGAGTGGGCATGTCACCAGTGACTGAGAATGACAGACCAATGTAAATCAGACATTAGGAAGCATAAAATATTTAAATATAAACTTTTCTATTTACTTTTTACAGGCTACACCAGTTGTACAAAATGAATTATTCATTAAATATTCCGGGGAACACTACAGAAAACAAATCAATCATCTTCATCGTGTAAGTCAAGTTCATTAAAGTATGACTTTATCTACGAGATGCTTTTGTGTTAAATCTATTCCAAGTTAGACCACGGATTGATATCAGTTAGAGAACCACTGGAAATCAGGGAGTACTGGACAATGCTAAAAAATCACGAATTGGTAGAAGTTAGAATTCGTGGGCCATTGAATCTGGTCCCAGTGGCTAAATGGTACACCAGCTTACTTTGTAACCGGAAGGTCCTGGGTTCGAAACCTAGTGTGTGCGTACTGCTGATAAACCCCAAATTAAGACGAAGTAGCTGTCTAGTACTCCCTCATTTTCAGTGGTTTTCTTACTTATATCAATCCGTGTGCCAACTTGAAACAAATATAATCCCCACAAACTAATTCTTGAAAATTAAATTTATTGTAATTAAATTAAAATTTAATGGTAATTGCATCTAGCGGAAAGTATTCCATGTGCTGAGCTGTAAATGATATACGTATACTAAATGATACTATTCTGTAGACAAGATACAGTTTAACAGACCAGTGTTTGAACTCAAAAGTTATTGAATGTAAATCAAATAAACCGCATGTTCACGAAGTGACTGAGATTTCTTGTCGTTGTCATCTGGCTAATTGATGATTATGAGTATAACCAACTACTTAAATCACAAAACTTTTCAAAAATGTTTTAAAATTATCACTATATATGTTACTTAAATCATGTAAACAGCATGCTTCATTGAATGTGCTGAATGGATACTAGTAGTATAGTGCAAGGCTGATAGAAGTGAAAACTAACATGTGTTTTACTCATAAATTCTTTGAAACTTTGTTCTAAGTTAAATGTTGATTAGTGAATTTAGTCGCTGAAACTCTACCATATTTTTCTGGTCTTCACTATATTGACCATGCACCTTTTTGTCGTTATACTTAGTGATACCATCCGTGCTTACTTCATTATGAAGTGGAAAAAGTTTACAAATTTTGTGAATGTCTGTAAATCTTTCTTTCATTTTTACGTTTTGTCTAATTTTAAGTAGAAAGAAAATAACATCATCTTAAAATATCCAGAAAACTGTCTCACTACAGCAAATCTTAAGTCAGATTCCCAGCTTGTAATTTACACAATTCGAAGAGGTGAAATTTCACCACAGTTTCCTTAAAACACCTTATGCCCCAAATGTTAATCACGTAAGCGCACATAAAAACCTGATGCTATATACTACTGATTAATTGACTGATTGATATAAGTAGTTGGATACAACTCACATCACTCAGCAGTGTTTGTGAATCAGACCGAAGGGATAAAAAACACAGGATGGCTATCTTTCTCGTTTGGTGCTGGGTGTATAATTTTCACATCGTCTACTAGTTTTCCAATTACTACTTTTATTCAGTGTATTACAAGTTCATCCATGTAGCCAGTAGCTTCAATTCGAGTGGTCTGAACTGATCCGGCTCTCTCAGCTGAATCAAACTGAGTACACTGCTGGTCAAATTGGGCTCGAACAAACGAAACATCCATCCAGTGTTTTTAGATCACTTTTATCTGCCTAGCACTACTGATTGATGTAAGTGATAATATCCAATTACTCATTCCAGTCAACGTATTACTATAACGACAGAAGACAAGGGCCAGGCAACAGATCGTTTATTGAGAAAATCAACAGATATTTATAGATTTTTAAGTACATTATTATTCGTTATTGTTAGCAGAGAAGCAACGTCTTCTGATTGGTTGCTTTCCTGCTGAAGGTTATTCTGTCATCTCTTTGTTGCCGTTTCTTAGACAGTCCGTTGATATATCTGCTAATCGTATCCGCCCACGCTAAGTCTGCTGTGATTGGTTGGTGAGTTCCTCAAGGTTGGGCTTTGTTCTTGTTTTCTCTCATGACCCGGATTTGGGACGTAAACAACATTGACGTAAATTGTTGTCTACAGTTTTGGTTGGCAGACAGCTCTCACCACAGTAGTATATGGAATCATGAATGTAGAGAATTTTGACTTTATCATCAAGCACAATAATGAATAAATGTTGAAGTATGAATGCTTTTAGAATATTATTATACAGCTTTCATTCTTATCCCAAACTAAAAGTCTTCAAACGATGAACGGAATATTCGCATATTGAGTCATTAGAAAAAGACATAAACACCGAAGAAAATTTTGCTTTTCGACAATTCATTTTCAAAAGCTGTACAATGATATTTATACTTTACAGAGAATTTTTTGAAGACTAATCAGATACTGGCAAATTAGTTCTAGATTATGTATTACATAATGTAAATTACAGTCTACAAGGGGACAACTAAGTGGAGATTAGAAAAAGGGGGTAGAGGTTAAGATAACGTAATAAATGGGAAGAATGACTAACCAGTCTACTTGTGTAAAGTGGACTAAAACTAGCGGAAAGACTACAAAGTGTTTTTGTAAAATCTGTAGTAAAATGTGGTGTGATTAATCAATAATGATAGCGTGATAATTAAAAAGGACAATGAAAATAATGGAAAACTTACATAATAAAATGACGTAAAATTATAGTAAGAACGTTACTTAGACCACGGTAGGAGGAGTGGATGTATGTAGGGCAGAGGTCTGGTTTTAGACCACAAATAGCCAATGATTCAGCTATGTATAGATGGAATGTTCGAAGTTCTTTCGTG